CTTATTGCCAAGAAAACACCGTGGAGATGGACATGAAATCAGCAGCATTTGAGTTTTCCTTGTGGTAACATACAGTAGCTGCTGAAATAGCTTCTGGACCTTTTCAAAAACAAATTTTCCACAAAATAAAGTTTTCCCATTCCAAGGAAAATTCACAACTAGTGATATTCCCCTTCTATATAACCTCTGTGTAGAAGACTCCCAAAATTTGGAAGTCCAACGCTTGTAAGCCCTAAGATCTTCTTAGACTTTCTGCTATTCTATTAACTTTCATCCCTCTCATACTTTTGCATACAGGAAGGGGCTGTATATAACCTCATTATCATTATCATAATTATCCTGTTGTCTTACAAGCATCTTCATGGAGAGAATGAATTAATTAGTCCTAATTCAAGAGACAATAACCCTCTGATAGCCATTACTATCTCTTCAGTTTTAGATAATAAACCAGCCTAACCCCCTGTTGATATATTGGACTGAAACCCAGAAAGTTCCCAACAGAATTTATATTGTTTTCATACATTGTGTTAAACCATGGTTTTCTAAATAAGACAAAATTAGCTTGATTCATATTACATGCTAAGCCAACCCCAAATAAATCTCATTATGGCTTAGTACAATTAGAAATTGTCTTCCATAAAAAAAAAAAATCAGTTTTTTTCCATTTGACTCATTAGCATGCCTTTCTTCTTCACTGATATTTAAATGTGTTTTGTTAATTTTATTTATTAATGATTTATTATTTTAATTTTTACATCAACTTTCTGTTAGTTTAGTTCATATTATGGCTTTTGCTAGATCTTTATCTTCCTTAGAGAATATAAATTTGAGATACTGAAATTTTGTATTTGAAAAGATAGTTAAATATCATCAACTAATTTATTCTTAAAAGACGTGTATCTTTAAATTCCTTTAAATTTCTTTCAATGCCGTGCATCTCTAAATGCTACTGTGATTACTATAGCTACTGCTACTAATAACCACTACTGTGCTAGTATTTCTAGCCAAGTAAGGAAATTTAATGTATTTTACAGGACTATGTCTATATATTCAGAAACTTACTTCCAGATAAGTTTATATAGAATTACAAGCTTGTTTTCCAGCCCTGAAATTTCTAGAATTTGAAATCTGTCAATAGGGACCGTCTGTTATACCTCTAACCACACATTTAACTTGAATTTTGTTGCAGTTGAATGATACTTGGTCAAATAATAATTATTAAGTAGCTTATTGGATTGTTGTGTGTAGGTGTATATAGTTCCTAATAATTTGTTATTAATTTTTGCCTGCTTCCTTAAAATTATTTTCTTTTTAAAATTCAGCCATTTCTTGAGTTATTTCCAATAGATAGTGCCCAAGATTTATTGTCATAAGTAAATATTTAAATCATTTATATGATAGAAGAAATTATTCTATGAATTTTCCAGGAGAATTCTGTATTTAATTTCCCTCAAATACCAAAACCTGATAAACATGCTGATAAACAGGTAGCATCATTTTTGCAGCTGATACTTCTTCACTGTAAAGTTAAACCAGTTTCCAAAAGAGAGAGAGATTCTAAAATAAAACTGGTAATTCTTCACAGCATTGACACAACTAGGGTAAAATGTCTGACTTCTCAAAATTTTATGAGCTTTGCATTTGTGCAGTTAGCCAGAAGGCTTTTAGTTAATATCTGTGCTCATGGAATCAAACACAAAAGATTGATTCTTCCTTGTACTCACAAGTGGGGAAGATACTAACAGAAGTTTGGAGCTGTCTGAATCACTGCATTCTTATCCTTCTAAAAATTTAATCCTGGCTCTATTCCCTTGGAAGCAATTCCTATGAGTAAGACTAACTCCAAGGTAAATATGGACCACATTTCAACCCTACATTTATTATATAGAATTATTTTTATTTCTTAAGTGTATTAAACATAATGATTTAACAATACATGAAAATCAGTGAGAAATTGAACAACTTAGATGCAAATGTATTTGTCAAATGTTACCCATGTCATTATTTTAAATATGATTGCAGAAGAATGTTAAAGTTTCTATGTTTTATCTTATTAGGAGCTTAAAGTCAAACACCTAGCAAAAACATTTTTTCATCCCAGGCAGAGCTTACCAGGAGTTCAACTAATATTTATCACTGACTGATGAAGGAAATGAGCTCTTATTTTAACACATTAACTCCCATCCAAAGTTACATTTTAGCATACTAAAAGAAGAGAAAATGGAGGGTGCCACAATGTTCTTCCCACCAAATGATCCATTTGTGATACTTTCCCATTAAAGTCCTACAATGAAATTCTTACCAGGATTGACTGAACATCCAAACAATTATGGATTTCTGATTCTGGGTGGAATTGTAAATGAATTCAGGCAAATTTTAAAAGTTGATCTTTTAAGAAATTTCTATTCAATCATGAATGTCAGGGATAGAACAGGCTAGGAGAAAAGTTTGGGAAAATATATGTAAACTCCTCTATATTTTATTGGATGGGCTAGGAAAAGAAGCCATTTTTACACTGTTACAGAGCAAATTTATCAACTGCATAAAATTCTTTTATGTCAGTGTTCATTTTATCATACATGACAAGTATTATTTCTGTATTTATTTTACAGTTTTGTAACTTGTAGACTCTGGGCAGCATACAAGCATAGAAAATAACAACGAAGATGACGACGATGATATAAAGAGCACATAACTAAAACACATTACATTATTTTCCCAAATAATACTTCAGAGTTGAAAGCATCATACAGAACTACATCATTATTACTTTGTAATTTTTAGTTGTTTAGTTTTTATGTTTATCAGAATGTATGTTTTTATTCTTTCCAAACCATTGGAATGTTGGAAAGAAATTATGGAAAAGAGCTTGGGACTGTGTCCATCTGTCTGCCCATCAGCAGGGTAACTCTTCAAAAAACTGGAACCAAATTTCAGAGGGAGTTAAGTCAGCAAAAGAAAGATGGTCTCTGAAAATGGTCAGGATCAGGCTGCTGGTTGTAGAGAAAAACATTCTCCATGCATCCCATAGGAGTGGGGCAGCAGCTCCAACTGCTGCTGCTATCTCCCCTCTCCCTCTTAGTCACATGACCTAGAGTGAAGTGTAGACAGCCTGCCCTGTCCTTCCCAGTTCACACTTACACACAACATGCACAGACACAGTATGGGGGTAGAACAAAAACACAAACTCTCATAAATTCCAATGGCCACTGCAGGTAAAGATGTTGGAAAGAATTCAAGAAGCTCTGGAATTCCAGAATACTCTGCAAGCTTTCCCTAGCTTGATATTATAAACCTACATTGGCATTTTTTTAGCCAAAAAAGTGGTCTACAAATACTATGAATAAAGTATGTCAGTTATTTCAAATAAAGCACTTAGAACATTTTCAAAGCTTTGCAAAGTCCTTATTGCCTTTGCAGGGCCAGCAGTTCAAGGATGGAGAACTCACAGAAATGATCAGTGGGCAAGAAAAAAACTGGGCAGCATCTGAGATGGAACCTCAAGGTGACACAGACTTCCAGAAAGAAAGGAATTTTAATGTATTAATTACCTGCAGCGGCTGAGATAATTCTAATCTTGGAGATCATGGTCTTAACAGTACTCCCTCTCCCTTAAATAGTTAAATGGTCCAACATTTTGGTATGTCAGCCCTTAGAAAGGCCCTTCTTTCAATGAAGGCAGGGAGTCATGTGGAGTGGCACCTTAGAATTCTGCCTAAACTCCCTGCCTCGCTCACTTCTGGTACAGTCTAAATCCTACCAGTCTCTTCCTTCATCCTTCATTTACATAACATATAATTTAGTCTTCGGGTGCATTCAGTGGCCTCCCAATACACAAACACAATTTGCTACTGATAATTGTGTAATTTTATAATTGGTGCTTCTTCTTCCTGTTTTTCTCCTGAAAAAAGTGTCCTTCATTTAGGTGATACAAACTACTAGATTAAAAAATACATCTCAATCCATAACAGTTTATGTCAGGTGTATAATAAGAACACATTTATATTATGTGTCCGTGGAAAATGTATTATTCTTCAAAGTGCTTCAAGATTCTTTGCTGCAACTTGGCTATGCCTATAGGAAGGGATCATGCCATGATTTCTTTGGACAGATATCTCGTGTAATGCAGATACCTGGTGGCAACCTGATGTCCTTGATAGATTTTGGACTTCAACTCATCAGCTCCAGCCAACATGACCATTGCAAGCAGATGATGGGAGTTCTCCAAAACATCTGGACAGCACCAGATTTTCTAGCTCTTACATAAACATATATAATGCTTTATTTACTTGCATATTTTGGTCATTGCAATTGCAATCTCACTAGTCAAAATGAAACCTGAGTACTTCATGACTTTCTATAAGGTCCACCCATTTTCTCTTATTAAACACATTTATTAGTACAGCATAAGTGAAAGTGCATAAATTTGATTTTCTTTAGAATTTCTGCTTTAAAAGTAGGGTGAGAAAGAAATATAAATAAATTGCAAGGCTATGAGGGGCAAAAATGAATGGAGCTGAAATATTACAGGAGGATAGACCTAGAAGACGCAGAGCACTCGCATTCCCATTTTAAAGATAGGAACCCTACTATCAACCACCAGTTACTCAAATCATAGATTATATTTATAGGAAGGTTGTGAACTAAGCTCTTTTACCTCCTTTTCTAATATTCCATTTCTGACCTTCCTGGCTTGTAATCTCTGTCCTGGGTCTACAGATACACATTTCTCGGCAAAAGTACAGAATGGACCGTTTCTAGGCAGAAACATATGGAGTTCTATTTGTTTTCTTTCTTGATGCTTAGTAAGTTTTTTTAAAAAAGAATCAGACTTCTATGCATACAGCATTTCAGAAAGCTTGAATGGGAATTACTGGGGAGAAGAATTGCAGGTCAAATATACAAATATGCATATATTGTTGACAGTCCAGATTACCCCACATCTCTCAAAACCACTCTATTAACAAAACATGGAAAGCATGCACTATGCAGCTACTTACATCGTGGAAGATTGCTAATCCCTTGCCATAGTGCTGCGGGGTCTCTGTGGATTTCATGCTGTAAGCATGCTTAGCAGAGAGCAAGCACATTGTCAGCATCTCTGTACATGCCATCATCTTCGTGCTAGAGATTCGTCAACTCTTTCACACCAACACTGGCTTTCTGATTTCCCTCCCCCTCCAAAAAGTTGCCTGCCCCACTGACTGCCCTGGATTCAGTGATGGTTAGCTGCTGAGGCTGCTGTGCTAGAGCTGGAAACAGCAACTAACTGAACACTGAAGAGATGCTCTTGCCAGCCTCCAGGCAACTTTCAGTGTGTGCTTAATTCCCCTCCCCTAGATTGCACTGATTGGTCAGGTTTTCTGACGGGCAAGTTTCCTCTTAGAATCTCATCATCACTCTGGAGCAGCAGACTCAGCAAGAGATTCCTCCTTAGAGAGAGGAAGGTTTAGTTTAAGGATTTACAGGCTGAGCTTCTGTTTGCTGCAATGTACCTATGCCCATTTACACCACTCAGCTGGAAGAGTATTGAAGAAGAAAGGATTAAGAGAAGAACAATTTGTATGGTGGGGACAAACATGTTAGATAAAAGAGGAGAGACTGAATGATCTAGGGCATGAAAGAAAATTAAGGGTGCTACACTGACAGTATCACAGATACAAAAGGATAACAAAAGCAAGAAGTGGGGAGGGGGAAATAACAGATGTGCAACCAGTTGTGTTGATGTCGCTAATTGCTACATCATGAACTGATATCTCTGACAAGGCTATTTGTGCAAAGGTCAACTTATGCAGCTGGATAATTGCTGGAGCAAGGTAGCACTGGCTGAGCCCACTCAACATATGGCCTTCTTACATGTGTATCAAGCTTTCCACATATTACTATAGGAAATTGCTCAGGACTTCATGAATAAAAGACTCCTTGCTCAGACTCCCAAATATAAATGCAGTTCAGTAAGCTTTTGTTTATACCCAGTGTTCTGCATAAAACGTTCTTAGGTGTGGATGAGCTGTTAGTTTGCTAGCCAGTGTTTTGTACTATGAGAAAAAGAAATATTTCAAATAGAAATGAACAAAGGCCACAGAGAAGTTAGGAAGGCCACAGCCATCCTTAACTTGTTGACGTCCAGGTATAGTGAATTGAAACTCCCGTGATTTCTAGACAGCATTGTTACCAGGAGTTATATTGAGAGCACTAGGTTGAGGAAGATTGTTTTAAGTCCTAGGTTAGGGATGATAATTGGGAGCCATGGGGCCACCTATGACCCCTAAAGCCTTGGGCATCTCCTACAGAGATTCCCAAAACTGTCACCAAATTGCTGTTTTTAATATAAAAGAAGGGGGAAAATAAAGAATTCATAGGAAATAAAAATAATCACATTTATTATATTTGTTTAGCTTTTAATTTAATTTAGCTTTTTTGTTCCAGTTCCATCCACTTCTTCTTTTGGCCCACCCACCTGCTATATTATTTCCCCCCAGTCCCAGCACATCACTCAATGACCAAATGCAGGTGGGTATCCCTGTCCAGGATATGTTCTCAAGGCAATCTCAAGGCTTATAGTCCTGTCCTGAGTGTGTGTTATCTTTTGATGAAATGTAGGCAAGATTAAGGTGGGTAACCTAAGCTACCCCTTTTCTATTTTAAAAAGCATAATGAGAACACTTCAATTCACCAAACCCATGAGGAACAGTGGTGTATGTGTGTGTTCAATATTTATATCCAATAGTTATATCCATATAACATCCAAGGTGATGTTTCCTTTTTCTTTTCTCCAATCTCATGTGTTGAATTTTGTTGGTTTATTATATTTTTGGGTCATTTTTACAGTTTGAATACTGTTTTTTACTCTGAATAAAAAGAACAGTGTTATGAGTACATATGTGTGTACACACACACATACACACATATACATCCTATTTTAATCACAAAAATAGTAAGAAAGGGATCTCTTACTCAGGGGAGAACCCACAAATGGTTAAACTGTCTTGGAAAATTCCAAAGATCAGTACTATAAGTAAGATAAAAATAGTCCTTCAAATGTACTTAGAAATGGGAAATCCTTTTACTCTGTGTTATATACCCCTCCTGGGATAACTGTATCTAACATGTAAAGAAATGAAGATAAAATGCTTTGCTCTGTGAACAAATTGTTTTTGGTGTAGCAGAGAATTTTCATAAACACTTCACATTTTTCACAATTCTTCCAGCACGCTTTGTAACAACAGCAAACACATCAACTGGGTTCAGACAATCATGGAGATTGTTTCCCTAATGTGCGCTTGCTTTATCTTGCACCCAGAATAAAGCCCTTGCTTTTATTATGACAATAGCCCCAAGTCTAACCAGTCGTGTACTCAGTGCTGTTCCTCCTGATGACTGAATCTTTGAAGGGTTAGTGAATCAGTTAACACAGAATTTGGCAAACTTCATGTTCTGCTGCAGAGATAAGGCCATTTCCAGCAATAATGCCAGAAGAAAAACAGCCTAAAAATTATAGCCTATGAAGTTGCAAAAACCTTGGGGAGTATGAGCCTTTGTGTTTGCCAAGAAGCTGCCCTTATAAGCAAACCTTTGCTTCTGGGTGAGCTCTGAAGTTCATGGTTGGAGACAACTCCTTCTGAAATATTGTCAAAGTTCTTTTAGTCATCTAAATATATGAGATAATTGTGCAGTTGTTGTCTTCTTTTTTGTTCTTTCTCTAGATTCATAACTAAGAAGAAATATTTTTATTATATAAAATTGGAATCGAAGCCAGTCATGACCAGGAGTGCAGATTTTATTTCAATCTGCAATAAAACTGCAATTGTAAATGCAGTTCCACAGTTGAACCAAGTCCCTAGTGCAGTGTTTCTCAGTCTTAGCAACTTTAAGATATGTGGACTTCAACTCCCAGAATTCCCCAGCCAGCCATATCTTAAAGTTGTTAAGGTTGAGAAACACTGCCCTAGTGAGATGGTGGCTGTCCTCTGGAAAGTGGAGGCTTAATAGCATCAGGACTGTTTTATTTCAATTCCTGCATGGAAACATGGGTTGGACTCAATGACTTCTATGACCTCTTCCAATTCTATGATTCTGTGATGTTATGGTTACCTTTAAGAAATTCTTATCTTCGAAGCAGATCAATAGTATGTGCAATGTCCTGAGTCCGCTTGAACTCCACAACAGACAGATATTCCTCAATGTACATTCATTTCTCTCTCCCCCCTTTCTCTTTTTACAATGTCTCAATTAGTCAGATATAGGCAGTTTTCTTATGATGTAGGTCAAAGTCATGAAGGTGGGTTAAACAAGTTTAAGTATATTTTTGACTGAATGATGAATGCACTGACACCAGAGATTGTGATTATTTCACCACTGGAGAAAATAGCAGTCTTTCTCCACCAGATGGCCTACTGTTACTTGTTTCAAATTCCAATAAAAATGGAATATTCAATATTTTGTATTTCTGGAAGCATCTAACCAGACTTAAGTTAGGTCTCCACAAACCTAATTTCTTCGTGTATGGTTTGAAACCCAGATATTTAAAAAACTAAGCTAGCTAGCTAAACATTAAAAAAACTAAGCTAGCTAAGTTAACCTGACAATATTGATTTTTAGTTGCAAATATGCATTCTGTTGCCTTATCTTTTCGAAATATTTTTAAATGCAAGGATTGACTTCACATGTTATAAAAATAATAACTCTGAAACACTGAAATTTCATTTATGCTGCATTACGTCTTGCATCTTAAGATATTTCATAAAGTTTTGTAAAGTTCTATGTCCTGTAGGCTTAAGAAAAGTTAGGCCAATTCACCTTGCTATCTACTATTTCTAGAGCTGGCTGAACTAAGAAGTCTTTGCAGAAAGCTGTAGAAGCTCTCCAAAAAAAGATGTTAAGGAAACCTTCTCTCCCACGCTTTTAGTTGTATCCATGTACAAGTTCAGTCAGACTCTTCCCCAGAATGGAAAATCTGGAAACTGTCAAAACTGCCTGAAAGGAACAAACGATTTCCAGGATTTCCTCTTCCATAGTCCATGTATTTATCTTATCAGGAAACCTTTTTAGGTAAAATCCATGTCTTTGTTTTTTTAAGATGGTTTAATATTGTTTAGTTCTTTGCAGCTGCCTGAACCAAAAGTGATTCTTTTCCTTGCGTGATTATCACAGAGTTTTCTTTAACAAGATTCTTTGAGATGGATGGAATGGGTCTACAAAAATTCCAGCAGCTTAACTATTTCCAATTGGGAACCAGTTTGGTCCAGTGGTTAAGACACCAGGCGAGAAACTGGGAGATCATGAGTTCTAGTCCTGCCTTAGGCATGAAGCCAGCTGGGTAAATTTGGGCCAGTCACTCCGCTCAGCCCTAGGAAGAAGGCAAGGGCAAAGCACTTGAAAAAATGCTGCTAGAAAATTGCATGGACTTGTCCATGTAGTCGCCTGATGTTAAGACTGACAAGGAACAAAAGCAAACAAAAAATCCCCATGTACAGTAGAATAGAGTCAGTGTTACCACAATCCAGCATGCAAACTGCATGCCACACAAGGGCACTGCACAGGGAGGGCCCACTTGCAAGTTAAAAAGGAAACGAATAAAATGCCACGCAGCACGGCTATAAAGGAAGAGATGGTCCAAGAAAGAGAGAACATTTTGAACACCAGGAAAAATTGTTCTTTGGAGGGAAAGGGCTAGTTGGGGTTCTGCACAGGGTCATCTTGTATGCCTGCAGCAGCCCTGGGTAGAGATTTTCTGATTCTGTTTTTAATAGTCTTCTAATGAACTATCGAGAAGGCAGCCTCTTCATTGATAACATGGAAGTATGCATAGTGGACTCTTTGCTCTACCGGTTTGGGAAGCAACTCTTAGAATATTCAGCTTGGAACCAGTGGCTTTAAAATCTCTCAAAATGTTAAAGAGACCGTGAAGTAGAATGTTTATTTGAACACTCCACCATTGTACACTCCTCTCCCTCCAGCCTGTATCAATGTGTTCCCCCCGCCTTTTTTTTTGTACACGAAAGGCAATGTAATGGGGAGTATGTATGGAAATTTCAAAGTAACTCTTGGGTTACATTTCAACTTGTTGATCTTACTAATAAAAATGTGAATCCATCTCCCCACTTCAAATACTCTAGTATGCTTTGGGAGGATTTCTTTATTATGGGGAACGTGGTCCAATCTCCCCACCCAGTCTTTATGGAACTTAACACTGTCAAAGAGAAATGGGGA